ATTTTGTCCCTATCACGTTCTTTATATTATTTATGTTTTTCAGAAAATAATACTTGAACCCTCAATAAGAGAAAATTACCTAATATGGTTTCAGATGCTGTGAACTGGGTCAATCCCTTCTGGTGCAAATATCCATCAACTTTGGAGCCCTTCATATTTATATACCTTTTGATCAAAGATTGATGGGTTAGATATTATAGTTTTTGGATATGATTTATTTCCAGCACATTCCTTATGTTATATTATATTTGTAAGAAAATAATACTTGAACCCAAATAAGCAAAACTGCACATATTAGTATTACGTAATATGGCTCCAGATGTTGGGAACTGGGTCAGACGCTTCTGGCGCAAATATCGATATACTTTGGAGCCTTCCAATTTCCATTAATAGTGCCTAATCTTCTCTTTGTTTTATAGGTTGAAGAAAGACTGTATGGGTCATAATACCTTTGTAGATTAGATTGTTCTGTCTTTGAGCGTATTGATGTTGCAATAGTCATTGATTCATATGATTTTTACATTTAATGTCAATTTATGGCAGATTTGCTGTCAGTGGAATCTTCATCTATGGATGTTGTTGTATTTATTAGTAGCTCATTTGAGCTTCCCAGTGACCAATTGCTTGTCAACATATCAAGAGTGTTGAGCCCTGGTGGAACTGTTCTTCACTGGACTTCTCAATCTGCTACTGGGAAAGTGGTAATTTATTACAAGATATCATTACTCGGTGAATTAACTGGTGACCATCTTCTTCCAACCGTTGAATGATTTATTTGGTCTTACTGCAGACAGAATCTTCTCTCAAGGGCAAGTTCCTTCTGGCTGGTTTTCTCGATGTACTATCTGCTGAAAATGGCCAGTCCTTTGGGATGCATCTCTCACACTCTCTCAATGCTATTTTTGCTCTTAGTGCACATGGACACACACCCCACCTGCAGTGTAATAAATTTTGCCTGGCCCAGCTGATCAACCAGAAACATGGTTAGCTTTGTAATGGACCTTTTGGAGTCGTACCCCGGTTAAACCTCCTTTTACCCGGGGTTTTCATCATAATCCGTTGACCTGAAGTGGTTTATCTGACTAAGTCATGTTCCACATCCCTTTGTAATGGATTAGCCCTTTATAATACTACCCCTGTTTCAATAATGGATTTCCTGAATGCTAGACTGAAAAGAAAAAAACTCCTCTATCATCTGCATAAGGGCTCCCGAGGCCCCTACACTAAAATTATATAGAATTTTAATAACCTTGAGTTTGTTTTATATCATTTTCACCAGAACTCGTGGTTCAATAGTTCACTCACAAGTTGAAGTTACCTGATGACTCAACCTTTTGTCGGCTTAATGGCCGAGCTTTGTAATTATGTTCTGTTGCTTCTATGGACAATGATTTACAATCCTCCTATTTGTAATGACCCAAATTTTTTCTTTGGAACATTAGGACGTATCGTAAACTAAAACTTTTATAATAGATAATTGTTTTTAAACTTACAATAATAATAATAATTAAGAACAAATACTTAATCATATTAAATTATTATTCGAAAATCATAATCATTTCTTCTTTATTATACCACTAGAGACCCGTTCCAAACTTCAACGCCTCGAACATCAATTACCTTAAGGGGGAAATCAGAACGAGATAAATCCCAATAAGTGAGCCATATAAATCGTGATTCATATTTAAAATTTAGGAATTCTTAATGTATATAAGGAGACACGGGGATTAGAAACCAAACTTAGGTAGCCATAATTCCCGTACATAATCATAACATATATAGGGAGACATGAAAATTAAGAATTGTACTTCGTTGCTATAATTCTTGTGCATAGCTACTGAACTCCGATAATTTGAACTTAAACATATAGGACCCGTATCATATTTATAACTTAGAATTCTGTATTTTAAAGCATGAAAAACGATTTAACATACAACGTTTGACTACATTCGTAAATCTGAAGAGGATTTGATAGAGCACGTATGAAAGAACTTGACCTCAAACAACCGTTTATGAACTATGTGTGTAGTGTGGGACAATCATAGTCACACACACACACACGTACATATATAAACACATGTACTTTGAGTCATACTATATTTAAATCAGTCAATTGTAATTATATATAATTATACATATATAGATGTACGTGATTGTAATAATGTTATATTTGAGATCAATTAACCATAATTATATATAATTATACATATATAGACGCACGTAATTATAATAACTGTTGAAGATTCCAGTTGTTTTGGGAAGGTTTGGTGGCTGATTTACTTATATAACTTTTAGCTTTTGTTTCCTTGTTTAGAGGGTTGGAATATATTTACACTTGGTAGTAATATCTTGAATTAAGGAAAATAATATGTATTCTATACCTATAAATAATGGTATTCAACCATGATTTATTAATTATTGAAAGATCACCACTTTAATGTGGTTCTTTATTTCTCTCTTCTTTTATGGTATCAGAGCCAGGTTCGGTTAAGTGGACAGAATGGTAAAAACAGCCATGACTGGTACACGCAGAGAAGACGACTCAGGGGTCTCCACGGGGTCCTCTGATCCTATCTCTACAAGTGTGCCCAATCCACCTAATCATCTACCCATGGCATCTCTCACCGAAAATTCTTCTCTCCAACTTACAACTACACGGCTAAACAGCAAAAACTTTTACCAATGGTCTAGGTATGCTCTTATGGTTATCCGTGGACGTGGACACCTGGGTTACATAATTGGAACCTCAATGAAGCCTGCTGAAAGTGACCCAGCCTTTGCAATTTGGGATGCACAAAATTCCATGGTAATGGCTTGGATCATGAATTCAATGGAAGAAGACAAGGAGGAGTCTTACCTCTATTACTCTACAGCAAAGGAACTGTGGGATGCACTTACGGTTGCCTTCTTTGATTTGGAAAACTCAGCCCAGCTTTTCGAACTCCGAAACAAATCACGTAATTTGCATCTGGGAGACTTCGATGTAACCCAATATTACAGTGCACTGCAACGACTGTGGCGAGAAATTGATATGTTTGTTCAGATTGATTGGGACACACTTAAAGATGCTGAGAAGTATAAAAAACAGCTGGTGAAAGAGATAATCTTTGATTTCTTGGCCGGATTGGTACCTGAGTTGGATGAATTAAGAGGTTGACTTCTGGGCATGGAGCCACAACCGTTGATAGATGAATTTTTTGCTGAGGTGCGATAAGAGGCTAATCGAAAACGGGTCATGCTTGGAGACTCCAAACAGCCTTCATCGGAAAACTCGGCACTTACCATTTGAGGACATGAAACCTCCGAGACTAACAAGAAAAATAGCTCGTGGTGCGAGCACTGCAAGATGACAAATCACTCCATAGATCACCGTTGGGCTCTTTATGGCAGACCTCCAAATCGTAAACAGTGGTCAAGACCCAGTCTTGAGGGGCCACAAGCACGTAATTCCTCTGGCTTCCATCAAAGACCCAGTCGTGAAGAGACGCAGACGCGAAATTCCTCCAGATTCCAGAGCTCTGCCAAACCTCCACAGAGTGCTACATCATCTGAAAATTTGTCTCTCTCTCACCAAGGCACAAGTAGAGCAGCTTTATAAAATTTTAACTCCTCCGTCCGGTACAGTCTCCTTGATTTTATTGGCTGAAAAAGGTAAGTATATTTCAGCTTTGACAAGTAAAAGTAGGGCTGAATATTGGGTAATTGATTTTGGGGCGAGTGACCATATGACAGGATGTGAAAAATTATTTTATTCATATTCACCATGTTCTGGATAGTTTAAAGTAAAAGTAGCAGATGGGTCACTTTCACCCATGGCTGGAATGGGAAAAATTGAACTCAGTGCATCTATTGAATTGACATCCGTGTTACATGTTTCGAATCTTTCATGCAATCTTCTTTCTATTAGCAAATTAACAAAAGATTTGCATTATAGTGTCACCTTTACTGAGTCAATGTGTATCTTTTAGGACCTGACTTCGGGGAAGAAGATTGACAATGCTAAAAAACGTGAGGGACCATACTATTTTCTAGAAGACGTCTACTTGGATAAACAAGCTCAAACTGCAAGTTGTGAGTCTCTACCTAGAGAACAAGAAACAATGTTATGGCATCGTCGTTTAGGACATCCTAGTTTTCCATATCTTAAGTATTTATTTCCATCGTTATTTCGAAATAAAGATAATTTTCAGTGTGATACGTGTCAACTTGCCAAACATTCCCGTTCTCCATTTCCCTCTCATGATTATAAATCCTCATCTGCTTTTACATTAATACACATCGAATTGTGGGGTCCCTCTAAGATTACGCATATTACGGGCAAGCGTTGGTTCATTACATTCACAGATGATCATACAAGGGTGTGTTGGGTGTACCTGTTAAAAGATAAGTCTGAAACTAAACAAATTTTTAAAAATTTCTACTCTATGATCCAAACTCAGTTTGACACAAAAATTAAAATCTTTCAAACTGATAATAGACGAGAATACTTCAATCACGTTTTGGGTACCTTCCTCACTGAAAAGGGCATCATACATCAAAGTTATTGTATTATTACCCCTCAACAAAATGGTATCGTTGAAAGAAAAAATCGTCATCTCCTTGAAACTGCTAGAGTGCTTATGTTTACAAGTAGCGTTCCTAAATATTTTTGAGGAGATGCTATTCTTACTGCTTGCTACCTTTTAAACAGAATGCCCACTAAGTTACATCATTTTGCAACCCCATTAACTATTCTATCTACTGCTTATCCTCAACTTCGATCAATTCTTTCTATTCCCCTAAAAGTGTTTGGTTGTACAGTGTTTACTCATGTCCATGATCATAAACGTACAAACTTAGACCCTAAAGCTGGAAAGTGTGTATTCCTCGGTTATTCCCCAACTCAAAAAGGCTATAAGTGTTATTCCCCAATCACTCAGAAATATTACATATCTTTGGATGTAACTTTCTTCGAGTCTCTTCCTTATTTTCCCCAACATTCCCCTCAGGGGGAGGAAAACATGAATGTTACAAATAACGATGGGAATTTTTGGGAAACTACACCACAGACACCTGTTTTTTCTATCGAAGAACTTTCCAGCTTAATATCCAGATCACCACCATCCTCCACAGATCCTCCTTCACTTCCTAATGATGACCTCCTACAGCCAAATTTAATGACAGGGGGAGATAAACAATTGGCACGAATGCCAGAGCTACGTGTTTATTCAAGGAGAAGAAAACCAGAAGATAGGGAACACCTCACAGTTCAACAGCAGAGCCATGAATCTAATCCGAATTCAGGTAATTTCCCTACTCCACAGATTGGTTATACTAATGATTTGGATGTTCCTATAGCACTCAGAAAGGGTGTTAGATCTTGTACTCAACATCCTATCTCTAACTTCATTGGATACAGCCACCTATCTATATCAGTTCAGGCTCTTGCTGCCAATTTGTCATTAATTGAGATACCCAAATCTATTCACGAAGCCTTATCAATTCCAGAATGGAGAAAAGCTGTTGAGGAAGAGATGGAAGCTTTGAATAAAAATAGGACTTGGCAGATAGTGGAGAAACCTAAAGAAAAGACTACAGTTGGGTGCAAATGGGTGTTTTTCGTTAAATACAAGTCAGATGGTTCAGTGGAACGCTATAAGGCCAGACTAGTAGCAAGAGGATATTCTCAAACTTATGGGGTCGATTACAAAGAAACCTTTGCTCCAGTTGCAAAATTAAACACAGTAAGGGTTCTTCTGTCTCTAGCAGCAAACTTAGACTGGAAACTTCAACAGCTAGATGTAAAAAACACATTCCTGAATGGTGACTTGGAAGAAGAAGTGTATATGGAACTTCCTCCTGGATTTGATGAAGCTAAGAGCCAAGGTAAGGTCTGTAAATTGGAAAAATCACTATATGGGTTAAAGCAATCTCCGCGAGCCTGGTTTGGTAGGTTTATGAAAGCTGTATGTCAACAAGGATATAAACAAGCCCAATTTGATCATACTATGTTCTACAGGCACTTAGGCGGAAAAATTACCATTTTAATAGTGTATGTGGATGATATAATCCTGACAGGTGATAATTATCAAGAAATGGAAAGATTGAAGAGAGCTCCGTCTACTGAGTTTGAGATAAAGGACTTAGGCTCCTTACGATACTTTCTTGGACTGGAGGTTGCTAGAAATAGGAGTGGTATCTCCATTTCACAAAGGAAATATGTCTTGGATCTACTTGGAGAAACAGGTATGTTAGGAAGTAAATCGTCTGATGTTCCTATAAACCCCAATCACAGACTGGGAGATTGCTCAGGAAGTACGCCTGTTGATAAAGGAAGATATCAGCACCTAGTGGGAAAACTCATTTACTTGTCACATATTAGGCCTGGCATTGCTTTTGCAGTTAGTGTTGTGAGTCAATTCATGTATGCTCCATTTAAAGAACATATGGAAGCTGTCTACCAAATTCTCAGGTATTTGAAGGGTACTCCTGGAATTGGTCTTTTCTTCAAAAAGAATTCTGAAAGGTCTATCGTGACTTTCACCGATGCTGATTGGGCAGGATCAGTAATAGACAGAAGATCTACAACTGGGTATTGTACTTTTGTGTGGGGAAATCTAGTCACGTGGAGGAGTAAGAAGCAACCTGTTGTAGCTAGGAGCAGTGCCGAAGCTGAATTCAGAGCATTGGCACACGGAATTTGTGAAATAATGTGTTTGAAGTCACTGTTAGATGAACTTGGGATTAGGGAGAATAATCCGATTAAAGTATATTGTGATAATATGGCAGCCATTGCAATGTCACATAACCCTGTTCCTCATGACATGACAAAACATGTGGAGGTAGACATACATTTCATCAAAGAGAAGATAGAAAATGGAACAATATGCATGGCGTACATCCCTTCATCCGAACAGTTAGCCGACTTGCTCACCAAAGGATTGTTTAAACCAGTGTTTGAGAAAATGGTGGACAAGCTAGGATTATTTAATACGTATAGTCCAGCTTGAGGGGGAGTGTTGAAGATTCCGGCTGTTTTGGGAAGATTTGGTGGCTGATTTACTTCTATATCTTTTAGCTTTTGTTTCCTCGTTTAGAGGGTTGGAATATATTTACACTTGGTCGTAATATCTTGAATTAAGGAAAGTAATATGTATTCTATACCTATAAATNTAGTGTAAGAGGATGAAAGTTAGAGGACCAAATTGCATATCGATCAATAGTTGAGGGACTACACGTACAATTTTCTAAATTGTGTGTGCGAGAGAGAGAGAGAGAGAGAGAGAGAGAGAGAGAATATTATTTATACACATATAAATTAGATGGAAAGTAAAGTTCTTTACACGTGAAAGATAAATTAGAAAAATAACTCCCTAAATCAGTAAACTACCATAATTGATTTAAATTATGTGATTACTATAATTACGTGTATCCATCTATATATATATGGATACACGTAATTATAGTAATCACATAATTTAAATCAATTATGGTAGTTTACTGATTTAGGGAGTTATTTTTCTAATTTATCTTTCACGTGTAAAGAACTTTACTTTCCATCTAATTTATATGTGTATAAATAATATTCTCTCTCTCTCTCTCTCTCTCTCTCTCTCTCTCGCACACACAATTTAGAAAATTGTACGTGTAGTCCCTCAACTATTGATCGATATGCAATTTGGTCCTCTAACTTTCATCCTCTTACACTAAGATGCTAATTTCATAATTAACGACTATAAAAGATTTTAGGGTATTACACTATTGGAAATAAACTGCTCCTAATTTTCAGTGTCAATTGCTAATATGAGAGTTAAGCAATCCATTGCTGTCACTGAAGGATTGCTGTATGCTGGTGCCACTAGTATAGATGTTATTCATCTACAAGCTATGCACACTATTTTTATATTTATATGTATCTTATAGAAGCTTTTAGTGTCTGTTTATCACATTTTTGTTGCATCCATTATTCCAAGGTACTCGTGTAATTTCATTTCTTGATACCAACCTTGAAGTTCTGATTAATCCATTGAAAAACAAGCGTTATAGATTTTATTCTAAAAGGCTTGTGTTATTAACTCATGTTACGAGCTTTATTGAACATTTTGTAAATTGTTTTTTGATTCATTTGTTTCCATTTAAGATAGACGTGGCCTTCAAATATTGTTTTATATTCAGAAAATTCCCAAATTTATTTATCTTTTTCTACAGATTATTGGCAAGAAACCTTCGTGGAAGATTGGCTCATCCTTTTCTATTAAGAAAACCTCGCAGTCTCTACCCAAAGTGCATATTGATGATGATATGGATCTGATTGATGAAGACAGTCTCCTAACTGAAGAGGATCTGAAGAAACCCCAGCCACTACCTGGTCAGTCAGATGCATCCGCTTCTTTGTTTTTAATTTCTGCAATGTTTTATTTGTGGCTACTATCACGCTAGTTGCACGCTTGCTTCTGAAATAGGTGATTGTGAAGTTGGAAGCACAAGGAAAGCCTGCAAAAATTGCACTTGTGGACGGGCTGAAGCAGAGGAGAAAGTGCAGAAGCTTGGACTTACAATGGATCAGCTTGATAATCCTCAATCTGCTTGTGGCAATGTATGTTTAATTTGATAATGCTGCTTCTCTATCTGATAATGTTCACTAACACAGACCGCAGCGTCTGTAAGTAGACCATATATGGGAAATTATATGAGAACTCCTTATTCTGGTTTCTTAGATCCTCTAGTAAGCATTAATTACTATATAATGGCTCATCTCTGTCTTGAAAAAGCTAAATTGGGCTACTGGTATGATGTCTGCTTATCACTTTCTATTGCACTTTATAGAAAATAATGAAAGATTGTTTATCTTGAATTAATTCGGTATTACACACCTTGACTCAATATATACTACAGTAGAATGAGTAAAAAAGGAAAAACAATCTCCTAACTAAAGGAAGA